CTTACTTTTGTTGTAGGTGATGACCATAAAGCCCCTCATAGGATGCTTATCTCTAGGCAAGCTACATCAAATTATAGGCCCGGGGTTCTGAAGGTAAGCCCGACTAGGATGCCCAGTAGCACCCTTATTCACCTTTTGGGGGTTAGGTTCCCTTGGAAGCTTTAAGCAAAAAAAGGCACCCGTTTTAAGCCTAGGTTTCTGGGCAACCTAGCCCTAAAAAGCCCAAAAAAGGCCTGCATTCAAAGGAGGCCCTGTCCTTGTTGGAGTTCCTGCCATCAACTCGAATTGAAGCCCCTCGGCCCCATCTGCGCGACCATGGGCTTAGGGTTAAGGGTCTAGGGTTTAGGATGAACCTAATAAACCCTGGTGTTTTGAGTTTCAGGGCGTGTGGGTCCGTCATAGTGTCTGAAAGAAAAATCTCTCAACCTCCAAGGACTGCCATCCTAACCCTTCGGCTCAAAATAACCCACAAACATTTTAGAACGTTTAGGGTTTCAGGATTTGAGGGTTTTAGGGCTTTAGGGTTTAGGGTTTAGGGTCTAGGGTTGAGGGTTTAGGGCTTAGGGCCCAAAACCCTAAAAGATGAGAGTCCTTGGAGCCTTGAATTACTCCACTGCCTCCATAACCCCTAAAACAAGTGTTCTCAAAATCCCACTCCCGGACCCCACGGCTTTCTGAAGCCACCCTAAACCCTAAACCCTAAAACCTAGAACCCCCTCCAAAAATTGCGGGGAAGGGGGGGGGGGGGAGGGGGGGGTGGGGCTCGAGTTACAATGAGGGCGTCGGGCTCTTGCTTTTCAACCGATGCCGAACATGAAGAGGGTTTCGGGTTCAGGGTCTTTTGGGTTTAGGGTTAGGGTTTAGGGTTTAGGGTGTAGGGTGTAGGGTTTAGGGTTTAGGGTCTACGGGGATTTAGGGCAGCTAAACGACCGGATTAAATGACTGTAGTCCCAAAACTCTACACCCCAAACCGTGCTACATCATTCAGGAGCTTGTCTAGATCCCGAATATTCCCACCTCATGATCCCCCTTCTAAGCAAGTGGTCCATTCCAACCAAAGAGGCCTCATAAACCCCTAAACACCCGAAAACCAAAAGACCATGAAACCACCAGCCTGCAAAACCTTGAGCCATAGCCCAAGCCCCTATAGGCCCAAAACCCCTAAGCCCCCTTCCCCGAACCCCCGACACCCAATCCCTAACCCCTCATCTCCTAAGCCCCTATCTCGCAAGCACCATGCCCCCCAAAGTCGCTTTGGCTTAAGAGGGGCTCAGGCTCGAGAGAAGCGAAGCGCCTGCATTAGGGTCTATAGGGCTGGGGTTTAGCTTTCCCTGACCCTAAATCCTAGACCCTAAACCCAAAATCCTAAACCCTAAACCCAAAATCCTAAACCCTAAACCCTAAACCCCAAACCCTAAACCCTAAACCCTAGACCCTAGACCCTAAATCCTAAGCCCAAAACCCTAGGGCTGGACGTTTGTTTCAGGTTTTGTTACCAGTAGCCTGGAGTCTTTACATGTAAAGACCTAAAGCAGCCCAAGGTTGAAGGGTTTAGGGTTTAGGGTTTAGGGTTGTGGGTTTAGGGTTTAAGGTTTAGGGTTGAGGGTTGAGGGTTGAGGGTTTAGGGTTTAGGGGTTTCCGTTTAGGGTTAAGGGCTTCAGTTCAGGGTTTAAGAGATTAGGGGTTTAGGGCTTATGTAAGGGTTTGGGTTGGTGCAGGGCTTACAGTGTTTGGAAGTGATCCATGGTTCCCTTCAAAGCTGTTTTGGGGGCGCCAGGCCAACATCGTAACCTGCAGCGCAGCCATCACTGCGTGTGACAAGGCGGCGTCAATGACTGGGCCCTAGAAGCCCCAAACTCTAAACCCTTAATCCTGATAGGCCATACGTGAGTCGGGGTACTTCAGTCTTAGGGTACCTCCATGGGCCCTTACTATGGTCCCCTACCTTCTTGAAAGGGTTCTGAAGTCTGGCCCCTTGACTGTGCAGGGTATATACGGGGTCCCCCTTTAAGTTCCCATCTAAACCCTAAACCCTAAACCCCTAAACCCTAAACCCTAAAACCTAAACCCTAAACCCTAAACCCTAAACCCTAAACCCTAAACCATACTAAGGGACCATGAAACTACCCCAAGACTCCCGTAGGCCGGAGCCCCCTTCCAATTTTTGTGGGAAGAGGAGCTCCTTGTGGGACTTGCCTGAGAACTTTTTAGGGTTTAGGGCTGAGAGTTTAGGGTTCAGGGTTTAGGGTTTAGGGACCCGGTTTTCGAGGCGAGCCTGGGCCTGAAGAGGCCACCCGATTGAGACCTTGCTGGACCCTTCTGGAACCCCCCCCCCCCCCCGAAGTTTTGGGACCTCCTCTTTGCCCACGAACCGGCGTGCCTCTGCCCACGAACCCGGCGTACCTCTGCCCACGAACGGTTCGTGGGCATAGGCACGCCGGTCCGTGGGCATAGGAAGGCCTCTAGGAAAAGTCACGAGGAGTGCCTATGCCCAATGAGGAGTTTAAGGTTTATGTACTATAGGCTGGAGTGATTGCGGGTTTAGGGTTAGGGTTTAGGGTTTAGGGTTTAGGGTTTAGGGCTTAGGGCTTAGGGCTTAGGGTTTGGGGTTTGGGGTTTAGGGTTTAGGGTTTAGACTAAACCCCAAACCCTCAGAGCCCTCAGCCAGAAGGCAGCCGAGTGGCAACGAGCCCTGGGCCTCTTTGGTCGACTTAAGACCTCCTCCATGCAGGCCAACACAGTGGCGACTTGGAGCGAAAGCCTGGCTTCGGCATTTTTGAGGGTGTTGGGTCTTTTTTTTTTTTTTTTTTTGGGGGGGGGGGGGGGGGGGGGGGGTGGTGGTTTTCAGGGATTTCAAAGATTTGTTTTAGGGTTGTAATCAGGGGCTTGCAGTAGAGTTGAGTTTGGGGTGTAGGGCTCCCTCGGGGGCTTTTGGGCCTAGAGTGCTTTGGAGGGTGGGGCTGGTCCTTTCCCCCCCAATTCTAGGGGTTCTTAAGGGAGGGCGTTCAAGAGGGTTTTAGGGTTTAGGGTTTAGGGTTTAGGGTTTAGGAAAACCCTAAATACCCTAAGCCCTAAACTCCCTAAACCCCGAACTCAAGCCCAAAACTGCGGCGCCCAGACAACTGGTGCTGCTGCAAGCGCTCTTGGCAATGCTTCGAACTGGGTACTGGCGCTGCGCTTGCTTGAGGAGGCTTTGGCGCTTGACCGCTTGCGGATCCATGGGCTTTAGGGGGCTTAGTAACCTGAAAGCCCTAAACCCTAAACCCTAAAACCTGTTTAGGGTATTTAAGTGTTTAAGGGCTTTGGGGTCCCAATTGAATTGGGGGCTCAGGACGTTTGAGGCTTGATTTGGGAATTTGGGCTCAGCTGGGACTAACGTAAGGGTTTGGGTTTTCGAAAAAATGTCCTATATTGCCCAATAAATTAAAAGGACGCCCAACTAATTTCCCAGAATGGCCTTTGGATCAACCCATATATATCTATATATGTATATTTAGGACCCAGAGTAGGCCCTTGTTCCCTCGTTTTTGTTGTGTTTAGGTTCTCTAATAAGCCCCTTCAGGCCAAAAAAGGCCCCCTTTTATTCCTAGGTTACTCTAGGTCGCCCCAAACCCTAAACCCTGAACCCTAAGCCCTTTTTGTTCCTGGGTTACTCTTGGGTCTAGATTATGTACCCACCGTTGAGGAGCCATTCCTTGTCAAACACAGCGGCTACTTGCCGCTTTCGGTGAGAGTTGTGAGTGCAACCCTCCCCCGTACCCTAAACCCTAAGCCCTAAACCCTAAACCCTAAACCCTAAACCCTGAACCCTGAACCCTGAACCCTGAACCCTGAACCCTGCCTAGATTGAGGGCGGGCTTGCAGACGAAATCCGTGGCAGGTTGCACATGCGAATGGCAAGGCAGACGCCGCGACTTCTAACGCGGTGATCTATGGGTGCGACACTTGCTGTGCAGTTGACCAGAATCTCGAAAGCCTGAACCCTAAAGCCCTAAGCCAAAAGTCCAATTTCACTGACGCTTAGCTTCCGCGAAATGAAGACTGAGGCATCTGATCCATTGATGCTGACACTCGTTTTCTAAGAACCCAAAGTAGGCTCTTCTTCCCTTTGCTTTAGGGTTTGGGGTGTAGGGTGCTTTGCCCTTTCTTAAACCACTTCCAGCAAAAGCACGAACCACCATATGAATTTGAAGCTTATTCACCATGAGGACCTTGAACCATAACCCCTAAACCCTTAAACCCTAACCCTTAAACGCTAAACCCTAAACCCCTCTTCAGGGTTTGACTAATTGACTAAGGGGTCGTGGTGAGTAGGATCTTCACAGAATCTCAGATTTGTTTTTGGAAACAAGGGGTACGGGTTATTCCTCGTTTTTTAGGGTTTAGGGTTTAGGGTTTAGGGCTACTAGGACCCAGAGAAGGCCCTTATTCCCATGATTTCCGGGTTTGGGTTCCCTTATAAGCGCCTTTAAACCCAGAAGCGCACCCTTTGTTTTCCCAGGTTACTCTTGGGTGTAGTCGCAGTAGACTGTAGACCTGCTGAAAAAGGAGGGTTAGGTTCTCGGCTTTAGGGAAGCCCTAAACCCTGAACCCTGAACCCTGAACCCTGAACCCTAAACCCTAAACCCTAAACCCTAAACCCTATACCCTAAACCCTAAACCCTAAACCCTAACCCTGAACTTGAAGCTGCAAGCTAAAGGGGGGAAGGGTTCAGGAGAAGGCTGCGATGTGGCGGCCGACGCTGCAGTTTCTAGGCGCCGGGGGGGGGGGGGGGGAGGTTGGGCAGAAGGTTCCTCAGGGGCTCGTTTTTGGTGTATGGGTTTAGGGTTTAGGGTTCAGGGTGTTCACCTTGAGGCGATATGCGCCATCAAGTTGAGACTCACCCTAACCCTAAACCCCAAACCCGAAACCCTAAACCCTAAACCCTAAACCGGCAGGCGATATGCGCCATCGAGCTGCGCCTCCCAGCATAATCAGCTACAATGCTGCCATCAGCGCTTGTGCGAACTGCGGTGAGTGGGAGCATGCCCTTGCCCTCTTCGCTCAGACGCCCGGCACCCAACTCCTGAGGCCCTAAACCCTAAACCCTAAACCCACCCTAAACCCTAACCCCTAAACCCTAAAACCCTAAACCCTAAACCCTAATTGCTAAGGGCTTCTAGGCCTCCTATAAACCCTGTGGGGGTTTAGAACGAAAAAAAAACAAGCCGAGCACCTCAGCTACCGGAAGAGGCCTAGTTCTAAGCACTGGTACCTTGAAAGGTTCCTGAAGTTGAGTTTTTCAGCCTGTGATAAGCAGTATAGCGCCGGGAAACTCTAAACTCCTTGAAAGGTTCCTGAAGTTGAGTTTTCCAGCTTGTGATTAGCAGTATAGCACCGGGAAACTCCCGGGAAACTCTAAACTCATATCTCTTACACCCTCAACTACCCCAAGCCCGACACCCTGCAACCCTCAACTTGGAACCCCCTAAAGCCTATGACCTACAACCCCGCCCCCCCCCCTCCCCCTGCCCCCCAAATCTTCTTCACTCCTTCCAAACCCTCAACCGTAAAGCCGAATTCTCAAAGCCAAAAGCCGTCCTCCTGTAAGCCCCTAAACTCCTAAACCCTACACCCTAAACCCCTAAACCCCTAAACCCCGAAAACCCCTAAAACCCCAAACCCTAAACCCCAAACCCCAAACCCCAAACCCTAAACCCTAAACCCTAAACCCCAAGTCTTCTTCACTGCTTTCTAAGGATTGCGCGTCAGCGCCTGCAGGCCGACGTCGTGAGCCTGAACTCCGCCTCCTGATTCCACGGGGCTTGTAGGGGCCTTGGGGTTTAGGGTTTAGGGTTCAGGGTTTTAGGGTTTAGGGTTTAGAGTTTAGGCTTTAGGGTTTAGGGTTTAGAGTTTAGGCTTTAGGGTTTAGGGTTTAGGGTTTAGGATACTCAGGGCTTGGGGTTTGTCAGGGTTTACAGTAGGGGTTGAGGCGTTGGGGCTGAAAGGCTGTGCCCAGAGGAGGAAACTGCGAAATGAAGCCTCGCAGAAGCGACGTCCAGAAACCTCGATTATCTAGTTATCTAGGATGCCCGGTAATGCCCTTATTCCCCTTTTGGGGGGACGGGGGTTAGGTTCCCTTCGAAGCCCCTTTAAGCAACAAAGGGCACCCTTTTTCATCCTGGGTTACTGGGCAACCTAGTTATGTATGGTCCAGTCATAAGGTGTTTCCCGAAATACATATACTTATTCCTGACCTGTCCCCCCCAAAGGAATATGTCCCTTACTTATTCTAATCGGAACTCCCCCCCCCCCCCCCCCAACAGGGCACCCCCGTTGCTTGCAAGGCGTGCTGTCTGCGCGCATGAGAATCACAGCGCCCGATGCTGTTTGTTATCCTTGTACGTACCCTAGGAAGCCTCCCTAAACCCTAAACCCTAAACCCTAAACCCTAAACCCTAAGCCTTGAAGCCTTTCCCCTAAATCCTTCAAATAATCACCCAGGAACTCTAAGCCCAGGAACCTCTAAACCCTAAGAAGCCTAAGCCCTAAACCCGTAAAACCCTCATCAACAGCATCAGCACACAGCTAATTTACGTTAATCCCGAAACTGAAAGTACGCTACAAAACAGTTGACAATGACTCGGACAAAACTTTCGTGCCCCTGCCTGAATCCATATTTTCAGTATAAACCGCTTCCCACCAAACATTCTGGTCACATGGGCCCCTAACCCCTAAAACCCTAACACCGCCAAAAGACCTAAACCCCTAGTCCTAAACCGTAAAAATCCCTGAAAAACCTCTAAGCCCCATAAACCCTCTAAGCACAGTAAACCTATAAACCCTATAGACCCTCAAAACACTCTAAGCCCAACAAACCCTTTAATCCCCAAGCCCCCTGGACCCAACCCCAAACCCGAAACCTTAAACCCCCCCAAACCCCAAACCTCAAACCCCAAACCGTACTAAACCCTAAACCCCAGACCCCAAACCCTAAACCCCAAACCCTAAACCCCAAACCCTAAACCCCAAACCCTAAACCCCAAACCCTAAACCCTAAACCCCAAAGCCCCCGAAGCAGTTGAGGCGCTGAGCGCCTGCGTCGACCCGGGACTTTGGTCGCTGGCGGCTCCTGGGCCCGAAAAAACGCATTTTGGGTTTTAGGGTTTTAGGGTTTTTTAGGGTTTTTTAGGGTTTTTTAGGGTTTTTTAGGGTTTTAGGGTTTTAGGGTTGTTTTAGGGTTTTAGGGTTTTAGGGTTTTAGGGTTTTAGGGTTTTAGGGTTTTAGGGTCTTAGGGTTTCAGGGTTTTAGGGTTTTAGGGTTTTAGGGCTTTAGGGTTTTAGGGTTTTAGGGTTTTAGGGTTTTAGGGTCTTAGGGTTTTAGGGTCTTAGGGTTTTAGGGTTTTAGGGTTTTAGGGTTTAGGGTTTAGGGTGTTGGGGTGTTCAGGGTGGTAGGGTGTGTAGGGTGGTAGGGTGTGGAGGGTTTAGAGTTTACCTTTTTAGGGTTTCGGGTATACGGTTTAGGGGTAGGGTGCACTTCGAATGGAGGTCTTTGTTCCCGTTGCATTTTGGGGCTTGCAACCCCTAAAGCCAGAACTCTCAACTCCAAACCTCACACATAAAACCAAACCCCCCCCCCCCCCTCCCCGCCCCCCAACCAAAAGCAGCAGCACAATAAACCCTGAACCCTGAGCTAGCCCCCTAAACCCTAAACTTGGCCCTAAACCCTGCACCCTACACCCTACACCCTACACCCTACACCCTAAACCCTAAACCCTAAACCCTAAACCCTAAACCCTAAACCCTAACCATAAGTCCTAAACCAAGAACTGCTGAGGTTGATCTCCTCCGTCAGGCGTCCAGCAGCCGCCTCACCCCGGACATCCTTACGCTCCTGGGAGCACTATTGGAATTTAGGTAGGTCTTATAAACTCTAAGCCCTAAACCCTAAACCCTGAATCCCGAAGCCCCTAAGGGTACCTGGGGCTGAGGTACAGCTTGGCGTTGGGCGCCTGCTCTGCCACGGCACAGTGGCGACCTACACTGGCTCTTCTGAAGGACCCATGCGCAAGACTACACCCCCAAACACCCAGATCCAACGTGTTTAAGGTTTAGGGTTTAGGGATTACGAACCCCCAAGTAGGCCTGTACTTGGTGCCCGAGTTTTGTGTTGGGGGAAGAGGCAAGGGTCACGGTGGGGTAGAAAGGGATCGCATGGGGGACCTGGGCCCTGAACCCGAAACCCGAAACCCTAAAGCCTATAAACCCTAAACCCCTCAATCCTGAATTCTCTCGGCATGCGCGTCTGCGATCGTGGAGGAGATGGCGGCAGTGCAAGTGCAACCAGATCCTGCGTCACAGGAGGCCCATGTAGGGTTTAGGGCTTTTAGGGTTTAGGGTTTAGGGTTCAGGTTCTAGGGTTTAGGGTTTCGGGCTAGGACTAGTGGCGTTAAAGACTCAAAGTCCCACAGGGTTTGGCGTTCAGGGTGTTAAACTTCAACCTGACGAATGTGACATGAGGAGTATTAAGGCTACAAGGATGAAAGTGTAGCCCTATACCATGGAAAACGGCATGCATACTCTCAGAAAAACAAGTTACCCTAGGCAAGCAGGGCGCCCCAATTCCCAAGCCTTCCACTAGCTAAATCCCAAACCCTGACACCTAAGCCCCATGCCCGAAAGCCTGCTATGGCCTTCTATCGTCTAGGGGACCGGGGTAAACCGTAAGCCCTCAGCCCTAAACCCTAAGCACCCTCAGCCCTGAAATCTAAACCCTCTCAGCGCTAAACCCTCTACCCAAAAGATTTACACCCTGACCCTTCCCCCCGAAACACTCTCAGCGAAAGCCTTAAACCCCAAGCCCGAAACACCCTCTGCCCGAAGCCCCAAACCCTAAACACCCTCAGCCCTCAACCTGGAACCCTAAACACCCTAAACTCTAAACCCTAAACCCTAAACCCTAGCCCTAAACCCTAAACTCCCTTACTCTGAGACTGAGACCCAGGCAGCACTTCGCTCCACGGAGCGGGCCCAGCGATGGTTCGAGTCGGCGCAGCTTCTGCAAAGCCTGACCGGGAGCCTACGCTACCTGAGAGGTGATCTTTCTTAGGGGGCTTTAGGGTTTAGGGTGTAGGGTTTAGGGTTTAGGGTTTAGGGTTTGTTCGGGGTTGGGGTTTATTGGGTTTTCGGGTTTTGGGGGTTTTAGGGTTTAGGGTTTTAGGGTTTTAGGTTACATATCTGTATATATATATATATATGTATAAATATAATCCATATCTTACGTTATCAGCAAATCTATATTAAAAGCCTATATAGGCCAGGTTTAGGTACCGACGTCATGTGAGGGTTTTGGGGGTTGAGGGTTTAGGGGTTTCGGGGTTTGAGGGTTTTGGGGGTTTAGGGTTTGGGTCGAAAAAAATCTGCACCCGACAGAATGTGAACCCTAAAGCCCCCAACTCCGTAAAGGTAAGGGGGCCATGGTAGAATCCCGCCCAAGCGCGCGCGGAAGCAGAGAAAAGTGCAAGTTGCGAGCATGTCGGCTGGATCCACACAGGCTTTGCGGCTGGTGGTAGGGTTTAGGGTTTAGGGTTTGGTGTTTGGGGTTTGGGGTTTGGGGTTTGGGGTTTGCGGTTTGGGGTTTGGGGTTTGGGGGTTTAGGTTATGGAGTCTAAGGACATGCCCCTAGCAGTACCCGCTTTCGCTTTTTGAAAGGTTAGGGACACCAACCCTAAACCCTAAACCCTAAACCCTTAGTGGCACACCATTTGTAACCCACAAGGGCGAGCCTTTTCGTTCAAAGGTTGCCGGGGCACCAAGGCTTTGCGGTTTGGGCTTTGTTTATAAATATATATTTATTTATTTGTTTATTTATTTTTTATTTATTTATATGTATTTGTTTAACGCTTTTTTAGGGTTGAGGCTTTGGGCATAAGTTTAGTTAGTACTTATCTTCTTGGGGCTTAGGGCTTCAGATTTGTGGGGTGGCTTCCACACCCTAAACCCTAAAACCCTAAAACCCTAAACCCTAAACCCTAAACCGGGTCTACTCGGGTTGCCCGAGCCAAGAACCCTTAAATCTAGGGACCTTTGAGGTGCTTGGAGGTCCAGGGTTTAGGGTTTAGGGTTTAGGGTTTAGGGTTCACATATAAGTGCTATAACCCCCTTAGAAGCCCCTTAAGTGCCCTAACAGGGTGATGATTGGGTGATAAGTACAGTTGTGCTTGGGTTACTAAGTACCATGAACCTCCAAGTGGGCTTTCGTGTTTTGAGGGCTTTGGGGCGGAGCTCAAGCAGGGGCTCTGACGCTGCATTTTTGTTTTTAGGGTTTCGGGTTTAGGGTTTCAGGTTTAGGGTATAGGGTTTAGGGTTTAGTGTTTAGGGTTTGGGGTATCTTGGTCCCATCCACTTTCTCCTTTTTTTTCAGGGTTTGAGTTCCAAGCAGGCACTCCTAAACCTTGCCACCCCGGAACCCTCTACACCTCTAAACCCCCCCCCCCCCCCTTTAGGGTTTTTCGGGTTTAGGTTTTTTGGGGTTTAGGGGCTGCTCTATAAGGACTGGGGTCCCCAACCCCAAACCCCAAGAACCCCGATCCTGATTGTTTGTAGGTTCTTGCTCCAACCCCCACAATAGGGTTCTGAGGCAACCTACAAACAAGCCTTGAATGGGTACCCTAAACCTCAAATCCACAAGAACCCTAAACCCCTTCACTGAACCTCTCACAGGGTTTAGGAACGCTGCACCCAAATTCCGCCCCTACTATATGCCTCAGCAACCCCCAAACAAAAAAACAACACTATTCCTGATATTTGTTGTTTTCCTGGGGGGATCGGGATTCCGGATTGTTACCTGTGTTGTTTTCTAGGGGGGGGGGGGGGGTTCTGAAGCAAATAGTAGACACCCCAACAATACCCTGAACCCTAAACCCCAAACCCTAAACCCTAAACCCCAAACCCTAAACCCTGAACCCTAAACCCTAAACCCTGTGCTGAGGCAACAGCGGGAAGCGTCCACAGGGCCTCCCGGGCGTCAGCCGCAAGCGTCGTGAGGAGTCTGGAAGAGGGATCATTGGGGGGGGTTTAGGGTTTAGGGTTTAGGGTTTAGGGTTTAGGGTTTAGGGTTTAGGGTTTAGGGTTTAGGGTTTAGGGTTGGGGGGGGGGGGGGACATTGAGGTTTCCCAGACCCTGGGAGGATCCAAAACAAGAGGGTACTATTAAGGGGGCTCTACTTTTTGGATCCTTTCAGGGGTCTGCCGGTTCGGGGTTCAGGGTCTAAACCCTAATTAAACCCTCAACCCTCAACCCTCAACCCTAAACCCTAAACGGGTGTAGGGGCGAAAGGATATACGTCGAGTTAACCCGTAAATTCGGAACCGGACTCCCGCAAGCCCAAACTCCTGGAAAAGTCGGCCCTAAACTCCTAAACCCTAAACCCTAAACCCTAAACCCTAAACCCTAAACCCTAAACCCTAAACCCTAAACCCTAAACCCTAAACCCTAACCCTATATAAACTATAATGTAAACCCTAAACTCCTAAACCCTAAACCGTAAACCCTAAGCCGCAGGACTTCAGGATTTTGGGCAGGTTTTCGGTTTTTTCGAAATCGCCGATGCTGTCTTGGCTTGTTAAACCTGATCGTGCACCCCAAGCCCGAAACCCCTAGCCCTAAACCCGAAACCCTAAACCCTGAACCCCAAATCGGTGGTGAGGGTTTCAGGTTCAGGGGGGCAAATCCAAAACCAACTTTGTCATACGTTTCCCCAGAACTTTATGTACGAACAGTAGGTTTGGGACTCTTAAGGTAGGATGCGGTTTCGGCAAACCCTAAACCCTAAACCCTAAACCCCCTCAACCCCCTCAACCTCCGACTTGGCGCTCCGCTTTTGGCCGAGGAAGGCTTGCATGAATGGGGTTTAGGGTTTAGAGTTTAGGGCTTAGGGTTTAGGGTTTAGGGTTTAGGGTTTAGGGTTTAGGGTTTAGAGTTTCGGGTTTAGGCTTTAGGGTTAAGGCCTAGCAAGCCTCAGCGTTTGGGGAGTTGAGGGACAGAGGTACGGTAAACCCTGGTCCTAGACTCCAAGCACGAAGCTCAGAAGCCCTGCAGCCTTAGGGTTCATAGGGCTCAAAGGGTTCATGAGGTTTATCTGGTTTATGTAGTTCACGGGGTTTTAGGGTTTAGGGTTTAGGGTTTAGGGTTTAGGGTGTCGCTTTTTTGAGGGTTCGTGGGGTCTGGCATGCAACAGATCATGCAGCTGAGAGAACTCTACAACCTTGGGGCCAATCACACACCTCTGTCTGCTTTTGGACTTTGCCTGCGCCCTTGACTTGTGACCATGCTCATGCTCCAGGCGCATGGGGTTGAGGGTTGAGGGTTGAGGGTTTAAGGGTTGAGGGTTGAGGGTTGAGGGTTTAAGGGTTTAAGGGTTTAAGGGTTTAAGGGTTTCAGGGTTGAGGGTTGAGAGTTGAGGGTATACCCGCCAAGTACATATCGCAAAGGCTGACCGGCTCCTTCTGAGGCATTCCCCAGAATATGGTTTTTGCTAGAATCCTTCTTATACCCAACCCCCCCCCCAACCCTAAACCCTAAACCCTGAACCTAATAAATCCTAAAGCTAGTCTGCAGCACACGTGGAGGTCCGGAAGGCACGTGTCAGGCAGTTTGCATTACAAAGATGCAGAGAGGAGTATGTAATTGGCAACGGCAATTGGGTCTGCAGGGGCCTGTGGCCAATCCCTAAACCCTAAACCCTAAACCCTAAACCCTAAACCCTAAACCCTAAACCCTAAAACCTAAACCCTAAACCCTAAACCCTAAGGAGAGGGGCGGCGGGGGGGAGGGGGGGAACTTAAGTCCACATCCTGCCTGGATAGTACGACGTGTAGAAGGCGACACTTGGCCTTGTCCAAATCCCACAAACCCTAAACCCTAAACCCTAAACCCTAAACCCTAAACCCTAAACCCTAAACCCTAAACCTGATAGCCAGCGGTACGAAGGATGACGGTTTGGGGATTAAAAAAAAACCTATTAGGACGTTGCATTCTCAGTGCAAACAAATCCAATCATGTGAGTCTTTGAAAATTAAGCATCTCACGTCCTGCGAGACAATTTCTAGATGTATGTATGTATGTATGCATGTATGCATGTATGCGTGTATATATATATATGTATCTATTTATTTGTTTTTTCATTTTTGTTTGTTTTTTTTAATATCCTTCTAGCGTCCCCCTACAGTGCTCCTACGTCATGCAAGCAGGTTTTTTGGGTTACTAAGTACCATGAACCTCCAAGCATGAGTTTGAGAACTGCATGTCTCACCCTGAACCTCCCCTAGGTTCAAAGCCTAAACCAACCCTAAGCCACCAGGGTTGATGGTGTAGAGTTTAGGGTTTTGGGGCCCTTTAGGCTTTAACCCTCAACCTCTTTGCAGTCTGTACAGTATAGCCCATGGCATTGAGGGGCCTGTTTGTACGGGCTTAGGCGTTTGAGGGCACATACGGCCTCAACCCTGAACCCTGAACCCTACACCCTAAACCCTCCACCCTGTTTCCCTAAACCCTAAACCCTAAACCCTAGTCCCTAAACCCTAAACCCTAAACCCTAAACCCTAAACCCTAAACCCTAAACCCTAACCCTAAACTTTAAACCCTAAACCCTAAACCCTAACCCTCCTGTTTGTGGGGAACCCTGCGACCCCAGCTGCAGGGCTGCCACTCCCCTGCTTGTGTCGTTGAGGCTTGGAAACTAGTCCCTGAACACGAACTAAACCCTCAACCCTAACTCCTTAGGATAAGCCCTAAACCTTACAAACCCTAACCCTTCTAAGCCCTAAAGCCCTAAACATGTCACTCGCATGTGGGTTCCGGACCCTTGAACCCTAAACCCTAAACCCTAAACCCTAAACCCTAAACCCTAAACCCTAAACGCTGGTTTCGCTGGTTTCCCTGGCCCACACCGTGGGAGAAACATACCCCTATCGAACTGCTGGATGGAAGCGTGCAAAAGCAGGCCCCGTGTCTCAGCAGTCCGGCTTAACAGCACACGCTTTTGGCCGGGGCAGTCATGGGAGCAGCATCCTGAGAGGTCGAGACCTTTCTCTCCAGTATGCAAACACA